ATTTTTTGCTGATGATATTATTTTATTTTTCAGAGCTAATGAAAAAGACTACATTATGATTAAAAAAGTCCTTGAGGAGTTTTGTTTGCTTTCTAGCCTGAAAATCATCTTAAACAAATCTAAAATCTATTTCTCCTCCAACATGAGTAGAAGACAAATTGCTTACCTCAGTAGGGAATGTGGTATCACCGTCACTGACGACCTAGGGAAGTACCTTGGGACTCCCATCCTACATAGGAGACCTTCTAAGAACCACTTTATTTTCATCATTGAAAAAATTCAGAATAGACTAAGTGGATGGAAAACCAAGTCTCTCTCTCTGGCAGGAAGGATCACACTAGTTAAGGCAGTCACGTCTACCATTTTCAACCATGTCATGCAAACTAACTGGCTCCCCCAAGCTACATGTGACCAGATAGACAAACTTAATAGGAATTTCTTATGGGGTGACACACCTAATAAGAAGAAGGTCCACCTTGTGAATTGGAATAGGGTATGCTCCCCTAAAAAGGAAGTAGGGTTGGGTCTAAGGAGAAGCAGGGATAATAATGTTGCCCTCCTCTCTAAACTGGGTTGGAAAGTGAAAAGTAAAGAAAAAACCCTTTGGGTAAATGTAATTAAGAATAAATATGTTGACCAAGACAACTCCAACTGGAAACTTAAGCATGATAGTTCTCCTATATGGAGAGCTATTGGCAAGACCAAAAGTTTGGTGGACCTAGGGTCCAAATGGTTAATTGGAGATGGAACTCATATAAATTTTTGAACTGACTGGTGGTGGGGTGAGGGTCCTTTAATGCAGCAGGTACTTCTACCAGATTGTTTGAACCTTAACAAGAAGGTTGCTGATTTCATTGACAATAGAGGTAACTGGAATTTTCAAGAAGCAGGTACTCTCCTTCCTTACTCCACTCTGCTTGATTTGTTTCATTCTCCCTGTCCTTTATCTGTTGACTTTCAGGATACTATTTGTTGGGGGCTTTCACACAATGGAAAATTCTCCACAAAAGCTACTTATGACCTAATTTCGAAATCCAACCCCAGGAATGGTCTTTTACTACATTGGGATTGGATTTGGAAATTAAAGTTACCTCAAAAACTAAACCAATTCTTATGGATTGTACAACATGATAGACTTCTCACAAATAGCCTTAGGGTCACAAGGAATATGACTAGTAATGCCTCATGTGCAAGATGCCATCACCCTGATGAATCATCCCTCCATGTGATTTTTGAATGTCCAAAAGCCAAAAAGGTGTGGAATTCTCTCAATGCATTTAATGATGAAGAACCTATTAGCATTAGAGGGATTCATAATTGGATCACTTTGAATTTAAAAATAAGGATGACTAGAGACTGGAAGGGAATCAGTTGGCCAATTGTGTGTACTTGTGTTGCATGGTGCATATGGAAAGATAGGAACAGGGAAAGCATTTCAAAAACTTTCACCTTACCTAGATTGGTTGTTAGAGAAGCATGGCTCCTAGCCTTGGACTCTATTAAGGCTTTCCAGCATACTAGTATGAATGCTACCATTACTTCTCCTTCCCTTATTGCTTGGTCTTTTCCCCACACTGGTTGGAACAAGCTTAATACGGATGGATGCTCAAAAGGCAACCCAGGCCCAGCAGGAATAGGAGGAATCATAAGGAATGATCAAGGCAAATGGGTTGCAGGCTTCTATGGGAGACTGGTAGACTCCTCAAGTCTTCAAGCGGAACTTGAGGCTATACAGATGGGTCTGGATCTGGTTCACAGAAGGAACATCACTCAGATCATTGTGGAAACAGATTATCTCGATGCTGCGAAGCTCCTTTCTACAATTCCAGAAGCCACCCACCCGAACAGAGATCGGATTACTCAATGCAGGAGGCTTATGGAAACAAGACAGATCCCTATTGTTCACACTCATAGAGAGGGTAATCGATGTGCGGATGCCTTGGCCAATCTTGGTGTCCAACAAATGGAAAAGTTTGTGGAGTTGGATGCTCCTCCCTCACAGCTGGCTAATTTTTTGTTAGCAGATATGTCCAGCGTGGCTTTTACTAGACATTCTGTCTAGTTTTTTGTTCTATAGTTTGTTTTTGTTTTCTTTTCCGATGTACCAAAAAAAAGAACCTCACATTTCATCTGGATTATTAAACAAGCATCTTCTTAAACAGGCATCTTCTGGGAGTCCCCCAAGTAAGTTGACCAAATCAGAGGGAAAGAGAAATGAAACAAAACACTAGAAATAAATTATTCAATAGTGGTCAGAGATTGTTCCAATCAAGGTGCATGACTCAATAGAAAAAATAATATAATAACTCCATTTTAATGTTATCAAACCCCAATAATAATAACTAACATGGAGTTTTTTTAAGCACAGAAATGTTAGAGACATGCCTCAAGACATTATATACACAACTCAGAATAATTTTAATGCACTAACAAGAATAGTATTGATCTCTCTCTCTCTCTCTCCCCTTTAATATATTTAAGCATACTTAATGCGTAGCTGTAAAAGACTCTCTTGTTAGTTATATATATATATATATATATATATATATATATATATATATATATATATATATATTTGCTAGTTAATTAAAGTAGTAATATCTTGGGGGCAGGCATTGGTCATGGCTGATGTAGTCCCAACTATGGGTTGTCAAACCAAAACCATTTTCTAGGATTAGTCAAAAGATGTCTGAAACCATCTAATCTAATAATCTCTACAATAATCTAAGTTAACAGTACTTTATTGAATTTACTTTTGTGAAATGCATGTGGGAGTGGGTGGAAGTTTATGTCTGTGTGTGTGTGTGTGCGTGTGTGAGAGAGAGAGAGAGAGATTTGAATATAGGTGATGAACAGAGCAAGTGGATGCAAAAACAAGAATCTAGGTTTGGATTTAAAATTCAAAAGAGGGAAAAGTTCTTTCTTTTTTTATCCTTCGAAACAGCTGAAACAGGGATTGTGGATCAAGCATGCATGAAAAGATACAGATTTTTCAGCAAGAACCCCACCACCACTGCACCATGTGCTTACATTGAGATAAAAACAAACCCCACAATATCCGACTTGAAGAAGAAACCACATGGCTCCTCACTAGTTTAATGAAATACTGGCATCAACCCTACATTATATTTAAATTTCTAGTTACACAGTGATTAAATGACTTCAGTTACTTGCATTTCATGGAGTTCTAAATGATTATTCAGACAATGCCAACTTTTGGTCATGTTTTGAGTTCACAAATACAATTAACTGAAATTGCCCAATTCCAAACGATCCACGATATGGGTGCAAAGAGGGTTCACAATTTAGTTCACCCAACTTTCTAGTCCCTAGTTATAATCCTAATCTCAAATTGATTCATTTTGAAACTAGTATCACAATTTAAAACAAATCTCATTCTGACTCCATGCATTAAAATGAATAATTAGTACAAATATTGGGAAAACAACCATAGATGTAAGCTAAATATTGCAATATTGTGCCAAGTATTTTTATTTGTATCACGTACTAACTCGACGCACTATCTAAATAATATGGGTTGAGTTTCATTTAAGAAATCAGCTAGTTTTATTTATGGTGCCAAGATCTTGGACGTTTTTTCACGTTGCTTATGTCGATGTGTCCGAGACAATGAGCATGGGCATAGATCTAGGAAGCTCCTTGCACAAGAAAGGTTAAACAGACAGTGACATCTGCATTCCAAACCCATAATTAAAAAAAGTTATCTACGCATCTGAGTTAGGGTGGAGAGAGAAGGGAATTGAAGTTTGCTGAAAAACATTAATTCATGGTGAATCTGTCAGATGAAGTTGGTGAATTCAGACTAAAGAGGCAGAGCAAGTTTACCTTTTTAACCTCAGTAAATGTATTCAACCCAGAAACCAAAAGAAGAATGTGTAGAGGATAATGAAAAAAAAATTCAGGGTAAACTTTCAATTTGACCCAAGATGTATGGTTTTTGAGACAAGTCATTCTATTTTCATTTTTTTTTGGTTGAACACTGTTCGAACCAATTTTCACGCACCTCGATTAATTTTCTTTTCAATTTAATTAAAGACAAGTTATTTTTGTTAAAACTAGGTTATTCATTAGAGATAAATCACTCGTAGCCGGCCTAGCGACTTGCCAAGATTATTGTCATCGACTTTAAGGGACAGTTCTGATGGGTTTTTCCCTTCAACACCTTTTATACCGTTGGACCAATATTGTTTTAAATTTAGGTCAAATTATACTTTGACCCTCCAACTATTACATTAGTGTCAATTCCACCCCCACCCCAAAAAAAACTATGGAGTTTCTCAAATTTTCCCTTAAACTACTTGAATTCCCTCCCCCCAATAAAAAAAAAATAGTTTGAAAAGTTCTTCCATTGACACTTGTTCACTAATTCTCTCCTCCCTTTTCTGGTTACTCTTAGGGGTCTAGACCTCCACAAAAGGGGAGGGAATAACCCTTGTTAGATGACATTATAAGACCAATAACCTTAGTTGGAGGTGCTATGTTGTAAAACATGAAAGTTGAGAGACGTAAGACAGGTGTTATAGCTGAGGAGATCAAAGTGTAATTTATTTTTAAATTTATGCAAGGATGAGAATTTTAGTGACTTTCTTTTCAGAGTATAACAATTCCAAAGCTCGAGATATGGCTCTGAAGTGGGAGATAAGGTCTACTTTATAGAAGTAGTGGCTTATGATGCTGCTCTAAGAGACAAGCTGGGATCAATCCTACAAAACCATTATTGCAGATAAAAACATCATAATGAAGCTTCAAGTTTTAGACCCACCAAAGAACATAATTCCAAATGGAGAAACAGGAAGGAAAAGAACTGAGAAAATTTCATCTTCCATTGATATACACAAGGATTTATATACAAATTACAATGTGGTCAACCAAACTTCAAACATACTCTCTCAACCTCCGATAAGCTTTTGCTTACCGGGGCGGCTCACATTCGTAGTACACAGCAATTCAGTAAATTTACATTTACCAACGCTTGCATATTAGACGTCAGTATCACAAAATTTTCCATCCATCCTGTTTTGAACTGCTTTGACAGCAGCAACTCTCGCAGCAGTGGCCGCTCTGTTTGCAGCCACGACGGCCTTGTTCACTTGTTCATCAACCCGACGAAGGTGAATGGCATTCTCTGCTGTCTTTCTAGCAGCCTGATATTTTAAAAGCGAAAAAAAGGGAGTCAAAAATTGAACAAAGTTTGAATTTGTCATGGTTGAAACAAGGGATTCAAAGTATTGAGTGAGACATCAATGTTGAACAATTCACCTGAACTGCTTTAAGGATTGAATCAGTCTGTGGGGGGAGGGGAGTCTTAAGGTTCCCCGAGTCCCATTCTCCACATCTCGACTCACTGTTTCGGAAAGCATACATGCCATTGCCTTGTTTACGGCCTTCGTGCCATGACCCTTCATAACAGTGACCATTAGCAAAGTGATAGACCCCAAATCCATGGATTTTATCTCCAAAATACTCCCCAGCATATCTATCTCCATTTCTGCAAAACCATCAAATACATTATCCTTCAGTAAACTTACATGTTCAACCAGGAGACCATATCAGAATCCCCTTTCCCCCTCCCCCCCCCCCCCCCCCCCCAAAAAAAAAAAAAAAAAACATAAAAAAACACAAACAAGAAAGGAATCTGAATTGAAAGAACAATTGTCAATTGACCAATAATCAGTTTATTCTCTTCGCATGAAGATTTTCAATTTGATGTCTATATTAGTAACTTGAAAGCTATTTTTGAAATATGCAAAGCCAAGAAATATCTGAGCTGTTGTTACCTAATTTAGCTGTACAGCTCATTTTTTGTGCAAAACAACTACTCATATCCCATATCTTCCAACAAAACAATAAATGTTACGTCTCTATCTAATAATTCATATCACCCAATTAAACTAATAGCATTGAACTTAAGGGTAACAGCCACAGAAACATTGAACACATCCATAGTCATTTTTTTGCTTCATCCACAGATCAAAACACAGATTTCACTCAAAAATTGTCAAATCCTTCTGTTGTTTTAAGGATAAACATCTGGGAATGAAGCATCCAAATTACAAAGTATTTTTTTTTTTTAAATTTGAAAACCGTTTTTGAAAACTAGGCATTCAATTTTGGAAAGATAAAACTTTTTCTAAAGTGTGGGCACTTGTAAATTGAAATCACCACTTTGCCCTGCGGATGAAGCAACCAAAACTGAGAATTTAGTGTCGCCCATGATCAAACCACACACAAATCAGACGAATCCGCAAGAAATCAAAACTCAAACCACAAATCAAGAAAGTCAATAATCTTCTTGATCAGAAAATCCATGATTGAAGTTCTGAAACTGAAGCAATACAAATTGCGAATTTAGTTTCACCCTTTATCAAACACGATCCAAAAATAACAATCAAACCACATAATCAAACAAATCACACCACCAAATCGCAAGAACTTCAGAACTCAAACTATAAATCAAGAAAATCAACAATTCAAGTTCTGAAGCTAAAATTTCACCTGAAATGGTAACACCCAAGGCCATGTTTGACCCCACACTTAAACTCCCCAACATAACAGCTCCCATCAGAGCAAGTCTGAACTCCAACACCATCACTCTGCCCATTGCACCACTCACCAGCATAACTATCCCCTGTATAGAACCTATAAACCCCATAACCATGCCTCAAACCCTGCCTGTACTGCCCCTTATACCGACTACCTCTAGCCCAACTCTCTATCCCATAACCATCATACCTTCCATCGATCCAATCACCCTCATACCTCCCATTCACAAAATAGTTATACACTCCACTCCCATTACACCTCCCCTTATGAAACTCACCTTCGTAGAAATCGCCATTGCTGTAAAACTCCACACCTTCCCGTATAATTCTCTTCTCTTTCCGATCTTTTCGCTCTTTCTTAGCAACATTCGATTCACCAATGAACCATTGCACCGGTTTTGAATGGTTCTTTGAAAACCCATGTCTCTTCAAGTACTCATCACACAATTGCTTCACGAAATTGAAGCTTTGGTGAATAAAAACCTTGTTTCTTCCGGCGAAAAATAGCAAAACAGCTATAAAAATCAGGGCCAGAAGCAAATTTTCTGAAGTGGGTATGTCATCTCTGTTAAAGAAAACGAAAAGGGTGTAGAAAGAAAGAAGAGTTATCCCCAGAACCGGGAAGAATCGGGATGAACTGGACCGAGCCGGAGTGAACCGGGATGAACCGGGCTTGTGGGGCTTTTGTTCTTCTATGTCTTCTTGATCAGGTGTGATCTCGTTCACCGAAGATATACTATGGATGGATGATCGGATGGTCGGAGACGACCGGAGAAGTGAAGACTGGGTCCTTGTAAGCTTACCCAGACTTTTCTGACCGTCCATTCTTTGAGTGTCCCACTACAATATCACTCAATCTCACCAGTCGAATCTCCCTTTCCTAGAGGACCCTCCTGTATCTTGATATTCTAGTCATGTATTCTAATCCCGGTGTCATAATCTCAGGCGGAGGATGCGTAGGTTAAGCAGGGGAGAGTGCGCAGTTTAGCACTTAGCAGTGAACAGAACGGAACAGAAAGTGTTCAGAGAGAGAGAGAGAGAGAGAGAGAGGGGAAAGATGGGGCAAGAGTGGACCGGGTTTTATGCGTGCGTTTATATTGGGTTATAAATGGGGTGGAGCCACTTGGGTTTAATATGGACCGTTGGATGGAAAATGGAGGGTGGGATTAGGGCATGAGTTTATCACCGTTGGATGGGGACTCTTTATGGGAATTGCCGGTATTGACGGGAATATATGGTCGTCGGATCGAGATTCGGCCTTTTTTTTTTGCTTTACTGTTGCAGGCCGGCACGTGCCATCACAGTTTTATTTTTATTTTCTGAAAGAAAAAGTTTATGAGGAGAAAGTGGGGGGTGTTTGTTTAGAATATTGTATTAACTTGCATGATTATTATCTCACCCCTGGTTTTCATGTGAGAAACTATAATACCTATTGGCTTCAATGAGGTTCTTATAATAATTGCCCACTAGGTGCTTGACGGGGAAGTTCTTTTCTTATGGATCTTCTTGTTAATTTACTTTTTTTTATTAAACGGTGAAAGATATTCGAATTAATATAAGCGTATTTTGATTAATTCTCTTGTCGATCCGTTCAAAAGAAAATTATTCACCATCAGATTAGGGTATTTATGAAGATTACCTTAAAGAATTGTTAAATTTCGAACTCATTACATCTAAATTTAGAATACGTTTCAATTACCACTATAACTACCTTATGTTTTGTTAATTTAGTTTTAACAAGCTAAAGTTTGTGCTTGAATTTAAAGTTGACTTCAAACTCGCATTGACAAGTACAAAAAGCCAATGTTTGAATGAGTCTTAAAATCAAGTTTGCTTAATTGAATCGTATTATATTTTTTTATTTAAATTTTTTTATTTTTCAACAAGTATTATTTGTATTAATAATCTGTTGTGTAAAATCTATAATTGGTGTCAGAGTTTTGTTCCAACAAGTGGTATCAGAGTCAATTTTAAAGATGACAAACAAGAATGAGTTCGTCCAGGTTGGAAAATTTGATGGGAGGTCAAATTTTTATCATTAAAAAACACAAATGAAGTTTGTTTTTCAATGTCATGGATTTTTCAGATATTGTGACAAACGAATTCACAGATCCCAAAGATTTACCAACTCACATGAAAGTCCAAAAGGATGAATTGGTAATTAATTGTAAGAAAGATAGCAGAGCGTTGATGTATATCAATAGAACAATTGATTCATCAATTTATGATAAGATTGCTCATATTTCGACGACAAAGGCAGGCATTGGATGTTTTGATTATTTATTATATTGGATACAATAAGGTGAAAAAGGTTCCCTCCACAACACCAAAAAAAAAAAAAAAAAGCTTTGTTGCAGACCCTACTTAGGAAATTTGAGTTTCTTCAGATGAAAAAATCATATAGTATATCTGATTATTTTTCGTAGATGTTGGTTATTGTCAATCAGATAAGAGTCAACGTCGATGATATGAATGATCTCCAGAATATGGAGAAAAATTTTCGAACCTTGTCAATGAGGTTCAAGTATATTGCCACAACTATTATGGAGTCAAAGGATCTTAATTTCCTGACAATTAATGAATTGATGGGTTCCTTGCAAGTTCATGAATAAAAATTAAATGAAAAGACTAATATTTTAGGAGAAGAAGCCTTGTAGATTGAGACAAGTTTCAAGAAGGAGAAGGATGAGCCCCGTAACAAATTCCAATTAAATAAGAAGTATCAGCATTTAAATAACCAAGGTACATGGCAAAACAAATCTGGTGGAGAAAAATACAAAGGTAATAATTGTGGTGAATAACGTGATAAATCCAAAATAAAGTGTTATTTTTGTGAAAAATTAAGACACTATAAACAGGATAGTTATAAATTAAGGAGATCCAATAATAAGAATTATCATGTTAAAGTTACAAAGTACAATAATGATAATTCAGATACTTTGTTTTTGGTTGATAGTGTAATGGATAATGTTTAAAAGAACAAGTGGTATTAGAACTAGATTGATGATCCTGGTAGAACAATCAAAACTAAATTGACGATTCTGGTTCAATAATCAAATTAAGTTATTGGTGATTCAATAATTAAGTTGGTGTTCATGTTAAAAAAGACTCTCTTGTCATGTACGTATAATTCATATTTTTATTTAGATTCACAAGAAAAAATTTAAAGTTGGTATGAAATCAAAAGGAAGACTAATTGCAATATTCCAAAAGTTTGGGAGTCATTGGGCTGACATAAACTCAATAGTGATAATGTAGTGTCTTGTGGGTTACGAGTTATTAGACTTTTACCTTTAAATAGTGAAATATTGACCATTAAAACCTCTCAAGAACAGATAAGACAAGGATAAGGATGCACAAATGATGCAGATCAAGACACAAAGTTCTTGAAAAATAGAGAAGCATGTGACGACTTAGAAGAGCAAGTTTACACGTGGTACTTAAAAAATTGGTGGATCAAAATCAAATGTCTTAAGCTAGATCTTGAGCATAACCAAAGTTGAAGAATTTGGTTCAAGGGAGGCTGTTGAAATTTGACTTAAACTCTTTAATTGTTATGAATGAGAGTTTGTTTAGGTAATCAATATGAGAATCCTAATAAACTATTGATAGTGACAAAATCAAATAAGATTATATTGCAAGAGTTTTAATATACCATAAGTATATTAGATATATAATATGAAATATAAAGATCAAATTGTATCTAAATAGCTCAAGGTTATAGTATTTTATCATTGTAAATAGGGTTGAGTATTATTAATCATTAGATATATAATATGAAATATAAAGATCAAATTGTATCTAAATAGCTCAAGGTTATAGTATTTTATCATTGTAAATAGGGTTGAGTATTATTAATCAGTTACCAGATGACTAGATTTCAATGAATAATACATCGATTTAAATTTTTGGTCTGTGGATGTAAATACGGTGGTCTGTGAATGTAAGTACAGTGTACTAAAGAGGATATGATGTATCAAACTATGTTATATTTTTATTATTTTCTTATATTTGAATTTCTATCTTATAATAAATATTATTTATGTTAATTATCTGTTGTGCAAAACCAACAAAGCTAAAGCTCTTTTTGTTGTCTAAATGAACAAATTTTTATCCAAACCCATCCCGAACTATTCATGACCACCTCTTAGTTCCAACCACGACAATGTTTATTGTGAATTGCTAGACATAGTTCGTCATAGTAAGACCAGATGGATCACAAGCAACGAATAGAAGACTCCTTCGGAAAAATAAAAAGGGGCGTAGGTATGTGCATTATATTGATGGCAATTATTTAGGAAATTAATGATGTGACATTAATGTAATTATTAAATTAATTGTGAATTCTAATATTAGATGAAACCTACAACTAATCTGATGATTGTACATGATTAAGTCCCTAAATAAGATATAAGTAACATTTCCCTTATATTGTTGGTTGATTAAATTGTTCTACCATTAAGGGTAAATTTTCAGCCACTCCAACATTTGAATCTTGCTTTTGCCAATCCTAGAATTAGTGCACCTACTAGAGTTAATATTATATCGGAAGATGACAAACGGGTGGGCCGGATATGAGTTGAATGTAAAACAAATTCAATTTATGTTCAAGCTGCTTCGTAAACAGATTATAATATGTTACATCACGACGAATTAGGTTAAACTCATTAACCTGTAAAATAATTAAAGTTTTTAATTAAATACATACTAATATACCAAATAAAATAAACACTAATACACAAAAAAAAACACACACACACACACATACACACACTAAATCTATATCTATACTACTTATAAATGTTAGTATCTATGAAAAAATTTTGATTTCCTATTTTATCCTTAATTATCATAATAAAGTCAATCATGCCCACCTATTTACTTTTATCTAATTTTTATTTTTTTATTCTTATTTGACTTTCAACTTGTTTTGAACTCTTCTATAAGAACTTTTAAATTTTTTTGAACTTATTTATTAGTTGTACAATTATATATATAAATATATGTATGAAGAAGTAAAATTCTATACATGTTAAATTACATTCAGTTACTAAAATGAATTATATGGTCAAATAAATATTATATTTTATTTTTTAGTATGTAATAATATATATAATAATATTATAAGCGACCTAATCAAACTATTTAACAAAATAAAGAGTAATAATTCTATAATATAATTAGATGTGCAAAGACCTAAAAAGGTTGGAGAAATACCTAAATAATGACAGATTAGTTCCTCAAAGACTTATAAAATAAAGTAATAATTAAAATAAAAATTAATTATTTGATATCTGATTAATTATTTAATTTAATTACAAATATAACTCACATTTTTTATAAAAAATAATATTATTTAAATTTATTTACGGATGTTTTGCTAATATACCAAAACACACATGCATTAATACACCAAAGTCGGGGTCGGGTCAGGTCAGTTTGATTTCCGCTATCCAATCAATTATTTTTCAATTTTTATAATTAAAGAAGTTTCGTATTTTTTTTGATGTTTTTTAAACGGATCTTGTACTTGAATTGCCTAGCCATCACATTCATGCTGGAACACGTATAGACGAGCCCAGATTTAATAGGGCCAGACCGGGTTAATGAGTTAGGCCCAAATCAGCTATAAGATGGGTCAAATCCAATTTATGGATTCGACCCTGTCCAGAGTTCAAGGAATTCAGAAGGATTAGAACACGTGGAGAGTAATTATCGAAATATTTACTCTTAAAAATCAAGACAACTTTTAATTGTACTTACCTTTTGTATCTCTCTGAAAATCTAGTACCTTTACCCTCACGTCACCACTTTAACCAAAGCTCCGTGCATATAAATTGTAAGTTTTCTCTACATGAGAGGACACATTGAGCTCTACCTATACACCTCTCTACACACACATAACTTCTCTCTCTCTTAGCTATTCTATCTCTCAGAGCTATCCATTACTCTCTTCCCCGTTCATCTTACTTTATTAATAAAGGCTCTCTCGGCCACCGTTGTTATTTTTCAAAATGGAATAGGTCGTCCAGATCGAACAATTATATATTTGT